GCAAGCAGATATTCCTCCAGGTCGCCATAAGCAATGTAATCATGGTACTAAGAGTACTTATTTCTATCCTTAAATCCCTAAAGAATACTAATACAGATCTTAAAAACTTTTTTTTGGCTTTTATGAGACAATTTGCTGAAAAAGTTAGCTCCCAGAAGTAGCTCCCATTTCTGGCACAGATAATTTATATACCAGGAAAGATTTGAATGCATTTATTTTCTCAGGAAATACATAATTAACTTTTAAAACATTATAGTTTAGTATGCTTACTATTTCTAAGGAGGGAAAAACGTAATTTAGGTATTTTTTACAAGGTAAAATTGAGGGAGACCCAGATGTATATCTGTTTGTGCATGCGCAAATGAGCTGATGGTACGGGTCGGGTAGTGACACTCAGCATCGGTTTCAAAGGGGTAGAGTAAATGGGGCATATTGTACACCTTGCTAGGTCCTCTTTTTGCCTTTAGAGCTGCCTTAATCCTTTGTGGCATAGATTCAACATGGTACTGGAAACATTCCTCAGATTGTGGTCCATATCAACATGATAGCATCTTGCAGATGCTGCAGATTTGTCGGCTGCACATCCATGATGCGAATCTCCCTTTCTACCATCTATAAACTCTGACCCTACCATCCGAATTTTGCATAGAGATCGACTCTTATCAGACCAGGCAATGTTTTTCCAATCTTCTGTTGTCAAAATTTGGTGAGCCTGTGTGAATTACAGCCTCAGTTTCCTGTTCTTAGCTAACAGGAGTGGTACCCGATTTGGTTGTCTGCTGCCATAGACCATCTGGAAAGAACTGTAACCTTAATTGGAGTAGGTAAATATCATTGAATCACATATTATGCAGTTGAAATAAAACAATCTAATTTATTTTCTTATTTTAAATGTAAATTGTCTTATTCAGTTGGCAAAGTGTCTCACTTACCTGCTCAATTCAAGACAAAATGCACCTATTTAAAAAAAAAAAAAAAAGGACTTAATAGGTATACTACATGCCTTTTATGTAATGAACCAGTCTGGCCATTCTCCTCTGACCTCTGGCTTCAACAGGGCATTTCCGACAACAGATCTGTCACTCCCTGGATACCTCCTCTTGTTGGACCATTCTCTGTGACCCCAACGATGGTTGTGCGCGGAAAACCCAGCAGATAAGCAGTTTCTGAAATACCGTGACCAGCTCGTCTGACACCAACAACCATGCCATGCTCAATGTCGCTTTAATCACCTCTGTCCCCATTCTGATGCTCAGATTGAAATGTAGCAGATTGTCTTGACCATGACCGTTGCATTAACAAGCCTTTGAGCTGCCAGAAAGATGATTGGTACGTTTTTCCATTTTTGACAAGAAACATAAATTAAGCTGCCTGGAAATATTTCTAGTTTTAGAAATCACACATAAAGTGAAAAAGCTTTGTGGAAATGTTGAAAAAAATCCTTTAATCAGAAGAATGAATCAGTGGCTTCCTGCTGACAGGTTGGTCAACGCTCCACAAACAGCTTCTTAGAGTTGGAGAACAAAAATTTGTTTTTGTTTCATTTTATTTTCTTGTCTCTGTTAATTTTTCCCAGGCGGATATTTGATCCCTCAGGAAATGTGTTTTCAGCTTAAACAGAAGAAAAGTTGCAGCCGGGTCAAAGTGCTTTGACAGTTTGCTTCAGGAGTTGAATAAGGGCTATTTGTTCAAGAAATATGTTGAGGTTTTCACAGTGCAGTCCAGGCCTGCTGTACCACAAGCCCAAACCCTGACCCATTTAAGACCCCAAAGCAGATCCCGCTGAGGAGCAGCACTGAGCGCCTTTGTTCTTATTTTCTGCCACTAAATGAGTGAGAAACAACCAGCTTCCAGCCAAAAATGCTGCGGTTACACTTACCCCTTAGACAGAAACAATGACACTTCTAACATACTAGGCGCAGCAGGCTTGGAGAGACAATCCAGAGAGAAGGAGGAAGAGGAACTTTGCTTTTACACATAGCTGATAAAGACTTAGACTCAAAGATGAAGAAGGATTTCTTTGGTTTAATGGCACCTTTTCTGTGTTTGTTTTTATTCAGCTCATCCAGTATTTATTTTTAAGGGAACTGGGCTCAATGAATGTCTTGATCAGACCTTGAGGTTTCTGGCATGGCCCTGCAAATGTGCTCCTTCATCTGTCTGTAATGAAGTGGACGGAGTAACCTGCTGCTGTAATGACCTTGCTGTTTACCGTATGTATGCATGAAATGCACCAAAGGAATGGGGCCCTGTGTGTACTGGAGAGGCCATGTGTACTTACCCTCCCCGTTGCTTTTACTGCTACCAGGCCGGCCGTTTGTTCTGAGGCACAGACGTGGCTCTGTGTACTCTGCGGTTAGATGAAGCTACAGGGTCTAGTTGACTTTCCTCCCCCTCTGTCGCCTTCTCAAGCTTCTGTTTTCTTGTGTGTCTGTTCTCCTCAATGATTCTGGGTTTTGTTTGGTTTTGGGTGTTGTTGGTGGAGGGGTTAGTCAGAGGCTCTGTTCAGGCTTCCTAACACCATCACAGGGTGTTTCGACCCGGTCCACTGCACCAGATCTGAGGGAGCAGCCATGAGCCAATTAAAAGCTGTAGAAATGGCTGCTGTCCACTTCGCCCCCCTGAATCCTCCACCCACCTCATCGCTTTGATCTCTGCACGCTAAACACAGAACCAGAGCCAGAACAGTTTACCCTCTATGCTAACATAGTGGGCCCAATTATTACAATCTGGCTTATAGCTTTCTGGCAAATCAGTAGAAAATTGACCAACTGTCTTTTTTTCGTCTTTGCCGACTGTTCAAGGACTGTATGAAAAATCAAGATTTAATTTAAGTGTTTTTCTGCAGATTCTATTGAAGTTGAAGTTACTCAAACAATTTTCTTTATTCCTCAATTTCAGTTTTCATAAGGTTAAATTTGAGAAATTCAGAATAAGCCAGATAGAGACTTAAAGTCAAATAAATAGAATTGGAACAAAATGATAGAATACAAGTTCAGATCTTTATTAGTCAGACTGCACTGCAAATCTCTGATCCTTATTTAGGTTTGATTTTTAAAAAGCACAATTTCACTGAGACTTCCATGAACAATTAAAAGAAAATTAAACATTATTATTTAATTTAACTGTTTTTGCTTTATTTAAATATTTTATTGACTAATCACAAAAGATTTTGAAACTTTTATCTCATTTTCAGAAATGTTTCCTTTTTTTGTACATAATAACTGATGCACCAAGCTATTAAGGTCAGATGTCATATTTTTGTTTACATTTTTTTATATTTTATAGAGAATATGTGAAATATGTTGTTACACTGTATTTAATCTGTCTCATATGTATTTGAGGAGAGTAAATACTTTTATTTAAGATGCAAAAATCTCTGGAATGCTTTCACATAAAAAATGGGCTGTTTGTGGTTACACGGTTGTTTAAAGGTTTTTAATGTTTTGATAGCCAGCGATGATGGAAATTGTTTTCTGCTTGCATTATTTGAACTTAGTTTTCTCATGTGCAACAATATTTTACTACATAGGTTAAGTAAAAAAAAAAAGTCTCCTATTTAGAGGATGAGCTTTATTTAAAAGCAAATCCATGCTCTTCGGTAAAACCTACTTTAACCTAAGGGGTTCCTCAAGGCCTAATACTCAGCCTATTAGTATTTTAATTTTATATGAAGAAATAAATGAATGTTAACATATAATAGCATTTACTGTCTGCCTGATAAAACAAAACAAATAGAAATGAATTCTCCAAAACATTCTCGTCCAAATAACAGGCAGTGGTTAAAAGTATTTAACTCTAAGTGTTATAAATAATGCAAAAAAGGAAAAGAAACTTATACATATTATTTAGTTCCAGTAGGAAAAAGCTAATGGGTAGTAGCTATTTCTCAGTCTGAGAGTGGAGCGTTTAATGGCTCCATAGCGGTCATTAATGTAAATATAACACTACACATCCGGGTTGGCAAGGATGTTTAGTGTCTTTAAAAATCCTACATGCTGTGATCTGTAGATGTTTTCCAGTGAAGTCGGAGTAAGTCCAGTGATTAATATGCTGATGTTTACCCCCTACAGATATTGTTCCTTCTTTTACTTACATCTCCTTCCTGTTATATGCTGATGATATACAGTTGTTTGTCTCATTTGAGCAAAACAAGTTCCATAAGCTACATAAATAGATTGCCTGCCTAACTTGGGAGAGTTGGTTGGCGGATAAGTATTTATTTTTTGAAAGAATTTGAGTAAAGTAAAAAAAGAAAAAAAAAAAAAAACTAGCTCAACCTGAAAAATGTTTAAACAACATAAGCCATCCAAGTACAGTTTGTGTCATTTAGGAGTTATTTTTGTTTCCAACCAAACCTATTATTCACATTTTTTTTTATTAAGGAGCCATAAAAACTGTAGTGTTTTGCATTTCGTTTAGTTCAAAATAAAACCTCCCTAAAATCCTCCTTAAAAGCAGATAATACCATTAGTCAAAGAAAGTGGTGGTGGTGTGGTGATATGGGCTGATTACCTGCTCCAGGATCAACATGACTCTCTGCAACTGATGGATCCATAAATTGTGCTCTCATCAGGAATCTTAAAGGAGAAGCTTCCACCTTAAATCCAAGCGTTCTCGGGTTATGCATCGCATGCCTAGTCAGTGACCTAGTCAGAAAATCAGCTGATTGAGGTGCTGTGGTATGACCAGAGGCTGTTTATGGTGAAAGCCCTCCACTCTGGCTGAATCTAAGCTATTCTGAACAGATAAGTGAGCTAAAATGTCTTATTTTATTCAAACAGGTAAAAAAAAAAAAGATTAATACTGTAATTTTACAGTATTAGATTTAATCAGATTTGAGTTTTATACTGGTGTTAGTATTTTATTTTTTTGTTACTGACCATACGTTTTCATTTTTATGTTTCCTGTACATTTTAGGTTTTATATTTGACCTTCAGCCGTGCGGTGCGCTACAATTACTTGATGGGTAAATTGTTGTTCCGTATTGGTGTCCCCAGGACCTCCTCGGGTGTCTGGCAGGGTCACTCATAGACAGACGGCTCGTTTGGGAAGTGCCATCAAGCTACCCTGTCCGGTGGAGGCAGACCCACCTCCCCTCATCCGTTGGACCAAAGACGGACGCACTATTCACAACGGCTGGATCCGCTTCCGTGTGCTCAGGATGGGCCTGAAGATCAAGGAGGTGGAGGCCGATGATGCTGGGACCTTCAACTGCCAGGCGACTAACGGCTTTGGGAGCGTTAACATCAACTACACCCTGATCATCATCAGTGAGTATGCTCCATATTGAAATGCAGAGTGGCTGTACCTGTCTTTTGATTAAACAGGTCCTGATCTGCTGGTTCTCCCATCACCGTCTCTCCGTGTTGTGTGACTATTCTCTGCAGAACGCGCCTCTGGTTAAAGACAGCATCAGTCAGATTTCTGGTGCTTTAGGGACTGATCCTCTCATCTCTGTATCTCTCCGTCCAAAGTCAACAGCAGTCTGGGATATTGTTTCATGCTGCTTCATCCTCTGTGACTCAGTTGGATCTGGTGCTCTTCCTTTTCCCCAGGCTACTCTTTGTGCAGGCTGGAGGTCCACAATAAGAACCATATTCAGCCTAAAGTGCCGGTTTTCCTCAGAGCTCAGTGCAGAGCTTCCAGGATTAGGGACAGTCTGACCGAGGCTGCAAACAGCGAATTTCCTCTGCACCAAGGCGCAGCGTGCTGAATGAGAGGAGTGGAGCGTGAAGGCTGTGTTTAGTCTAATTACTTTAAGATGCCTAATTAGCCCCAGAGTCTCCTGTATCTCACACGAGGAGTTTCACCCTGGCCTCGTGATGGCTGTGCATCAGAAGCAGAGCAATGATCAGGAAAAGTGGGAGAAAAAAAGCGTGCCGTGCGCAAGAGCGTGAGTCAAGTTAATTCAAAGCCTGGGTGTCAGCTGATTGTGTTTGAATTAAAGGCTAAAGATGTTGGAGCGCAGCCATGTGTAATGCCAGGGTTAAAAACAGAACATATTAAACAATATCAGACATCGCCCTTCGGATTTTTACAGTAGACACCCGTTAACACCAGTTTCATGGTTTATGGAAGTTTAGAGGATTAATATATATGGTGCAAATATGCAGTACTTTTGGTTGGGTGTTATCGTTGTGATGCAAAATTTTTTTCAATAGTTCAGCTGTCTGATGGCGGTGGGGAAGAAGCTGTTGCAGAATCTGCTAGACCTGCATCAAATGTTGCGAAGCCTCTTCCTAGAGGGTAGCAGGGAGAAAGATCCGTGGTGGGGGTGTGAGGAGTCATCGATATATATATCTTTATATATCTATATATACACTCACCGGCCACTTTATTAGGTACACCAACTGCTTGTTAACACTTAGTTTCTAAGCAGCCAATCACATGGCGGCAACTCAGTGCATTTAGGCATGTAGACATGGTCAAGACAATCTCCTGCAGTTCAAACCGAGCATCAGTATGGGGAAAAAAGGTGTTTTGAGTGACTTTGAACGTGGCATGATTGTTGGTGCCAGAAGGGCTGGTCTGAGTATTTCAGAAACTGCTGATCTACTGGGATTTTCACGCACAACCATCTCTAGGGTTTACAGAGAATGGTCCGAAAAAGATAAAACATCCAGAGAGCGGCAGTTCTGTGGGCGGAAATGCTTGTTGATGCCAGAGGTCAGAGGAGAATGGATAGACTGGTTCAAGCTGATAGAAGGGCAACATTGACTCAAATAACCACCCGTTACAACCAAGGTGGGCAGAAGAGCATCTCTGAACGCACAGTACGTCGAACTTTGAGGCAGATGGGGTACAGCAGCAGAAGACCACACCGGGTGCCACTCCTTTCAGCTAAGAGCAGGAAACTGAGGCTACAATTTGCACAAGCTCATCGAAATTGGACAATAGAAGATTGGAAAAACGTTGCCTGGTCTGATGAGTCTCGATTTCTGCTGCAACATTCGGATGGTAGGGTCAGAATTTGGCATCTACAACATGAAAGCATGGATCCATCCTGCCTTGTACCAACGGTTCAGGCTGGTGGTGGTGGTGTCATGGTGTGGGGAATATTTTCTTGGCACTCTTTGGGCCCCTTGGTACCAATTGAGCATCGTTGCAACGCCACAGCCTACCTGAGTATTGTTTCTGACCATGTCCATCCCTTTATGACCACAATGTACCCAACTTCTGATGGCTACTTTCAGCAGGATAATGCGCCATGTCATAAAGCTGGAATCATCTCAGACTGGTTTCTTGAACATGACAATGAGTTCACTGTACTCAAATGGCCTCCACAGTCACCAGATCTCAATCCAATAGAGCATCTTTGGGATGTGGTGGAACGGGAGATTCGCATCATGGATGTGCAGCCGACAAATCTGTGGCAACTGTGTGATGCCATCATGTCAATATGGACCAAACTCCCTGAGGAATGCTTCCAGCACCTTGTTGAATCTATGCCACGAAGAATTGAGGCAGTTCTGAAGGCAAAAGGGGGTCCAACCCGTTACTAGCATGGGGTACCTAATAAAGTGGCCGGTGAGTGTATGTATGTATATATATATATATATATATATATATATATATATATATATATATATATATATATTTATAGACACATCTATAATATATATAGTTATATATAATCACACACCTATTTATTGATAATACTTCAAAGTCTATGTATGCACATCTATATACCGTAATTTTCGGACTATAAGCCGCAACTTTTTCCCCATTTTTCGACCTTGCGGCTTATATAACAATGCGGCTTATCTATGGACTTTTACAGCTAACGGCCACTAGGGTAATACCTAAATCTATGGATTTTACCATCCACCATGTTGATGTCACATTTGCTTCAACACACAAGTACGGTAGCCGCGAGGCTGGGAATGCGGAGGTCCCCCGGAAGCAGACTTCTACCGCGAGTGCTACGAGACAGAACGACAGCGAGAAAGACGGACATTGTGAGCGCAAAACAGTTTGTGTGTAAGCATAAAAAACCTGCGGCTTATAGTCCGGTGCGGCTTGTATATGTACAAATCATGCAATTTAGCTTCTGTGGCTTATATTCAGGTGCGGCTAATAGTCCGAAAATTACGGTATCTGCAAATAAAAGCGTTTACTATATGCAGGCTAAAAACCTTGAAAAAGCAGGGTCTTGCACAGCCGATCGACGTTCACTACAGCAGACGTTAACTACTTTCTGCAACATACAATATGGCGGCGACGTTGACGTGCCAACCTACGCCCAACGAGGCGTCTATGTACATCTGTCGTTGTATGTTGAAATCATCCAATAAATCACTGAAGCTTTAGCAGATGTTGATGATAAAAGCAAGCATTTGATTCTGATCAGGTTAATTAGGGTGAGAAGGTTTTGACAAGCAGAGTAAGAGAAGGTGAGAATATGATTCTGAAGCACAAAGCATCACAGCTACATATAAACTGAAAAGTTTAAATCGAGCCACTGCTGAATAATGTTTAGTCTGCATTAAATCTACACGATGAGCGGCTTAGTCCTAGATAATGTTACCAAGTGAAAATATAAGGTTTGCTGTTAGTCTGAATCTGCTGTAGTGAAGGAGAGGCTGCAGTGAGATCAATCTGACCCGACTCTGCACATGGTTCTTCTCTAAAACTTTGGTTTTCTTTGGAATGAACTGCATCACATATTTAATCTGGAGACTTTCTGAGAAACTCAGTTCTTAGGATTTTTATCAGGCAGGCTTTTGCCCTTTATGGAGTTGTATTAAAGCTTTCTGGGCTCCTACTTAATCCTGACCTGCTCTTCTGTAATTCCTCCTCATCCCTGTGTGGTGATGAGTGCATTGCGTTGTGACCGGGGCGACGTCCACAGACTGAACACATGCTCCTGTGTTTCTGCTCTCATGTCCGTCATCCTGTTATAGCTGCTGGTGAGCTGCGGCCCCGCCGTTTGTTTTTGGAGGGGTGCATTTTAATCAGATTACAGGGCCTCGTTGTCAGAATACTGCCAGGGTTGAAGTCAGCTTCGTAAAGTTCAAACAGTGAGCAATTTTCATGAGCAAAACTTTCCATTAATGGTGACTCAGCTAATTAATGTAGCTCCCTGCTATTAGGTGCTGTGGCTGCTGGTATGTTGCTCCAGAGGATCTGGGAGGAGTGTATTTATTTGAAGTTTTGTAAATGAGGGGTAGCCGGCTCCCAGCGCAGCTCTGGGTGCAGCATCCATCACACAGGTTTGTTGTTTTTACTCGATCACAAAAACAAGAACTACAGTCAGTCAGGATTGAGCGAGGGGGCCGACTAAAGCCTGGCAACTCTTCAAAAAGTTCAAGAGCATTCCTTTACAAACAAAACCAGCAGAATAGCAACTGAAAGAGGATGACGATGATGAGGGAGTGCGGGGGTATGTTCTGCAGAGGCAGTTGAGAGGTTTCCTTCGTCCCATCTGCCCTCCCAAGAGCTATCTGAGGAATCTGGTCCGTCGGTGTAACATGGCGCCTCCTCAATCCCTCCAGCTGGCTGTTTGGGCCCTGTTTGGAGGGGGGTGTCCTGACAACTGGCCCCATTAGCCCCAAAGGACTGCTTCCTGGGGAGGCCAGTGTATGCAACTGTCCCTGCACTCTCTGCAGATCAAATCCCAGCAGGTTTTATCTCGGCATTAGTAATGGATTGTCATATTAACATTTAAAAGATTGGATGCAATGTTTATGTCTGTATGGATGATTTTCTGCAGGAGCCACATGGTTCTGGAGAGGTTCGCAGGCCAGCTACCTTCCGTCCAGCTGACCGCATGTGGTAGCTGTTTGGAGATGATGAAAGGCCACTGTGTCAAACTTTCTGTGGACATTAGCACGTCCTTGATCACATCTGGAGCAATTTATGGTCCAAAATCCTCTGGCCCCGTGTTTTGACTCAGCTGTCTTTGCTAAAACCTCTTTCCTGTGGCTGGATTTGTGAATGAAGTGAGAGGGAATGGCGTCAGACCACAAACACTGGAGGGACATCATGAGTGGATTCCAGTTGGAAGGAAAGAAAACAAAAACTGATGACATTTTAACAAACTTAAAGTTTTTAACCTCACTTTGGGCTGGGTCTGAATCATGGGTCTTGTAATGTTCACTGGTCTGCGTAGTGAGCACCAACACCTCAGAGCTGACCTTTCATCTGCTTCAACTTCTCTGCTCCTGAAGAAGTCCTCGCCAGGGATGTGGAACCACGGGACGGCCGGTCACGCCCTTTCTTACAACATTTTTGCTTTCTGAGTAAACGATACATATTTTTTATCAAATAAGAGTTGGGGATGTTCTGTGAATTCTGAAGGACTATGTCTCTCTTTTCAGGTTAGGATTTAAAATTGAGAAAATTATCAAACCTTTTTTTTTGTCTGAAATGATAAATATTCCTTTTTCCTGCATGAGCAGACTTGGTATCAACTTAACTTCTTTCTAATTTGTAGTAATTGAATATTAAAGAGTTTAATAAGTTACATTTATTACTTGAGCTATATATTTAGGTTCCAATATTGATTTTCTTTGTTTGAGACTAAATAAATATTAGGTTTAGAAAAAAGCATAAAATGAATGGCTTCTCTATTCTGTGACAAAGTTTGTTAATTGGTCAAGAAATTATAATTCAGATTCTGGTGATAGAATATTGGAATGAATTTTTCTGAAATAGCTAAATCTATGCATCTGCCATTAAACATCCAACTTCTGCAGCTCTCTCAGCCTACTCCGAGCTAAGACAATAATGACATATGGCAGCATTGCAGGTTCATATGCACAAAGAAGGCCATTGTTCAAAAAAATCACAAAAGAGCAGAGAGGAAACAAAAATTTTAGTCAAAAAAAAAACCCAACAAAAAAAAAACAGAAGTCAGAAAGAAAACCCCGGCAGCGCGGGACCATGATCTGTTAAGATTGGGAGGTTGAAGAACTGGCAGGAATGTGGAGAGCCCAAGTGAGCAAGAGGGAAATACTTCTTCCATCGGAGGCTGGAATGGGTTATTATCGTTGGCCGGTTAAAGCCCCTTCAAATAGCCATGACATCATGGCTGGGATCGGTGCTGCAGGGGACAAACAAAGGAGGGTCTGTACCCAGAGAACCCAGGAGAGCTCCAACGACTCTCAGAAGGAGGCAGAACGGTTGGGGTTAGAAGTCACATCTGTTCTCTTTACCTGACTCAGTCAAACCATGAGAGGGAACCAAGTGTATTAGACTGCATGTAGAGGAATCCAGCATTTAGTTGCAGGAGAGCCAGAAGCTAAAGTCACACACAGAGGATAGAGACAGAATAAGTAACCTCTTTTTCAATGCATCAGTTCACTCACAGCGGTCATTATTCAAACACTGCACATCTGTTGGTGGCACATTTTTAATCTAGAGAGCATTACTTAGAAACGCTGACTGGAGGAATCTTCTGCTTAGTGTCTCCGTCTGCACTGATCCCATAGAGAAACCTGACCTGCTCATCAACTCTTCACCCGAAAGGTTGGAGCACATCTGAAAGTGTCGATTAGGTTTCACTCATCATTATTTCTTTAAGCCAAGTCTTAGCCTCTGCATGATGTCAGCCGGTGACTTAAACCCCACAGCTGTCTGCTCTAACGGGGCTTAATAAAAAACGATCGTATGACTTCCAAATGCAGCAGAGCGTGACCCGAGCATGCAGCCTGCGCAGAGACGCCATGATTAACTCTGCAGTTACTCACAGACTCTGACAAAAACAAATTTCTGAAGCCAGTTTGATTCTTTAACAGTAAGAGGGTCAGAAATTACAGCTTTTCGGGACATAAACTGTTATCTCGGTGTATGATAGTTGCAGGAAATAATGATTATGACTGATTTCTCTCTCATGTTGTTCGCAGATGACTCTCATCCTGAGAGCACAGGACCAGCTAGTGAAGCAGAACCTGAACCAGGCGGTGAAAAACTGGGTAAGAACTCCAAGTCTGACGTTCTGCTTTCAACAAATTTCTACTTGAACTTTTCCATAAGTCTCAAACTGAGTTTTATCAGGCTTTAATACAACAGACCAAAAACCCGATTACTTATAAACATAAAGGAAAACAATACATGTGTGTCATTTTTTTTTTTACAAACAGAAATCTGAACAATCTTATGGCACATATTTTACTGTTATCCCCGAATAGAAGAGGTTTGTTGTCAGGTAGAACTGAACAAACAGCATCATGAAGCATCATGTTGTCAGCGAGGATCACAGCAGACAGGTCGGACAGGAAGTGGAAGATAAGTTCAATTAAAGCAGAGTAAGGCTTTAAAACAATATCCCAGACTTTGACCATCGTTCAATCCGTCATCCGAACACGGAAAGAGGATGGACCAACGCTAAACCTATCAAGGCACAAAGGTCATTTTAATCTGACAGGGAGGGGAAGGGGATCATTAATCAGCATAGCCAACAGAGATCCACAGCTAACACATAAGAGTCCTAATGACAACTATATGTAATTTTTTCCTCCTTTTTTGGAAAAAAGAAAGCCATAAGAAGTACTGCATCAAAGCCATGTTGGATGTACAGCCAGTAGGTGGCATCATTTTTATTTTACATGCAAAACTTCGACACAACATTGAAAAACAGTGGAGGCACATCATGCTTCTGTGATGCATTAGATGGATAGATGGATGAGGCGCAGAGAAAAAGTTATAGGAGGCAGAAGAGCTGTAATTGAGGCAGAGCGTCATCTTAACCACCGTAAACAATGAAATGATTTGGGTTGAAGCTCATTCATGTACTATGATGGACTAGTCAAAGTTCAGGCCCCAATCAGATTAATATGATGTCACCCGTCAATCAATCCTAGGGGCTTGTCAGCACCTGACCAATCAGCGATGTTGAATTGAAACGTCCCTCCCCTGCAGAAATGCAACATTTCCAGCATTTTGCATAAAAAGACGTAGCAGAGATGCAAATTTTGCTAAAAAAAAAAAACGTATAATAAAAGGCTAAATGTTATCAGCATCCAAATTTAGAGAAACTTTACTATATTCTACTATATTGGTTCTATTTCCAAAACCAAAAAGCAGTGATTAAAAAACTTAGAGAAATGACCAAAAGTCTGCTGCTTACAGCTCTAAGCAGTAGCTGCCGGTTAAATGTCTAAACAAACCGTCTTTGTCATAATTACATTGTTGGCTTATGTTTAATTTGGAAAAAGCTTGATTAATTACAAAGTTGTGTGGTAATAAACTATATTAAAGGCAACGTGTCAGCATGGGCTTCTTAACATTGATTATTTACGTGATAAAAATCCTCCTCTGGCTTATGTACTGTATTCAGTCGCCTGCTTTTGTAACTGTAAAAGACGTCAAACTCAAATTATTATTCTTTGTCTGTGGAAAGCGTGTGCTTTAACTTTTCTGTCTTGATTTACCCGTTGTCTTTGCCTTAATGTTTGCTGATCAGGCAAAATGTGTCATAAAATTCCTCAGGTGACATGCTTCACTGTGTAGCTGTCAAAGCTATGATTTATCTGACTAAACGCCTTTGCACACCACACTTTTCAGATTTTTATATGTGAGACATTTTGAAAACCATGCATAATTTACTTTTCACTTCACACAAGTTAAAAAGTCTTAACTTTATTGCAATAAAATGGGAAACATTTAAGGGGGTTAAGTATTTCTGCAAGGTCAAATGTTAGAGATTTTACTGCATAGAAAAAATAAATATTTTTTAGAGTTAGGAGCATTTTCAGTAAGATACTCAGTAAGAATCTGGACAAATATTCAGAACAATCAATATATAAAGTGAAGCATGAGTAAGCGGTTCTGCGTTCTTTGCCATATTGCTTCTGACTTCTCTGGTAATGTTTACTGTGCTGATAAGGCTTTAAAGGCTACAGGTGCAACTTTCTGAATGTCCCAATTTATGCCAAACTGTATACATGGATTTCCCCTTTGTTTCCTCTCAAAGCTCGTCCTCGATTCACTCAGCCTGAAAAGATGAGGAGGAGGGTGATAGCATGTCCCGTAGGCAGCACTGTGCGCCTCAAGTGTGCAGCCAGCGGAAACCCTCGACCAGACATTGTGTGGCTGAAGGACGACCGGCTTCTGACGGAGCAGGAGGTCGGCGAGGGGCGCCAGAGGAAGTGGACTCTGAGTCTGAAAAACGTGGTGCCAGAGCACAGCGGCAGATACACCTGTAGGGTGTCCAATCGAGCGGGAGAAATCGACGCCACCTACAAGGTGGAAGTCATCCGTGAGTATCTCAGTTCTCATCCCTTCAGAGGGAAAGCATCTCCACTGCCAAAACACGGCCATCACTATGCTATGCTGAAGGAATTAAGGTTTTAGGGTTATGTTTACCACATTTTTTCATAAAAGGCAAGGGAAGTTAATTTATATAGCACCATTCAGTGCAGAAACAATTCAAAGTGCTTTACATCAATTAAACAGTCAAATAAAAGAACAATACAAGCAAGTATAGATAAAAACAGCAGGTAGTAAAGCAAATAAATCAGTTGGATCGCAAACAGCCAATGATATAACAGTCCTAAACAAATGGGTTTTTGACTTTGACCTGTCTGGGAGTTTTTTTCCAGCCAAGTAGAGCATAGGAACTGAGTGCTACAGAATCCCAGTAGTCAATGGGCCAGAGGTGGGGTACACACTGGATGGTCCACCAGTCCATCGCAGGGCCACACAGAGACACACAAGACTAACAACCACTCACACTCAGTCCTACGGGCAATTTGCAATGTCCAATCAACCTAACATGCAGGTTTTTGGACTGTGGGAGGAAGCCGAAGAGCCCGGAGAAAACCCACGCAGACGCAGGGAGAACATGTAAACTTTACCAGGAAAGGTCCTGGTTCCCCTGGGACTCAAACCCACACCACCACGCTAACCACCAAACCACAGTTTCGCCCTTACAGACTAAAATAAGGATGTTAAAGTCTATCCTCTGAGTTACAGGAAGCCAGTGGAAGGACTTCAGAGCTCCGCTAATGTGTCCTACTTTCTTAGTTCTAGTGAGAACACAGACAGCAGCATTTTGGATCGGCTGTAGCTGTCCGATGGACTTTTCAGGCAAACCTATGAAGACACTGCTGCAGTAATCAAATCTAGTAAAAATAAATGCATGAATTAGTTTTTTGAGATCTGGCTTGGACATTTGTCCTTTAATCTTGAGATGTTCTTCAGGTGATAAAATGCTGACTTATTTAGGGACCTTTTGTGCCTCTGAAGGTTCAGGTCTTAGCCCATCATGACACCAAGATTACGGCCATAATTGTTGGTTTCTAGATGTAGTAGCTAAAGCTGTGAGCTAACTCTGGATCTCTCCTCCTTTTCTCTGAAGATTATAACCTCAGTTTTGTTTTTATTAATTTGGAAAAAATTATAAGGCATCTACATATTGATCTCTTCTAAGAAAATAATCAACGCTCAAATGGGTTCATAGTCACCAGGTGACAAAGCCGTGTGTCGTCTGCATAGTTATGGTAACTGATGTTGTTTTCTGCTATAATCTGAGCCAAGGGGAGCAAATACGGAGGGGCCCTAGAATGGAGTCTTGACATAAACGTCCCTGTTCTTTAGGTAGGATTTAATCCAGTCCAGTGCTGTACCAGAAAGGTTGAGCCAGTTTTCTAGGCACTCTAATAAGACCAAGTGATCAAAAGTCAACCGATGCAGTGAGGTTCAATAATACCAGTACTGTAATATTATTATTATTCAAGTTTTTGGTTGTTAGGTGGCAAAAAGTGGAAGTGGAGTTCAAAGGGTGAAAATACTTATGCAGCCCTCTGGCCGCTCTGACTCTAAAGACAAACCTTCCTTCCTCTCCTGCAGTCAGATTGTGATCAGCAGGTCTGGCTGCTTGGATGAATGTCCTCTCAGCAATTATGACCATGAGAAGCAGATTGAGGAAGCAGTCTGAGAGTGAGGGCTGGTGCCCCGCTGTTTGGGGGATCTGAACCAGCCAATCTGGAGCTGATTAAAGCCCAGCTGTCTGCCAGAACCGCCTCCAGCCCCCTGAGAAACTGTGCTGTACAACCAGGAGTACAGAGAGGAAACTAATCACACATACTTCTTGTGTTACATGTGGTGTTCCTGCCTCCCTCTCTCAATTACAAGCTCTTAGCTTTAGGCTGCTTTGGATGCCTTGCTCCTATCAGCAGATGTGCTGAAGCAGCAGAACGTGTTAGTGACGGTTCTTCTCATTGGGTCTGTGCAGAAAGGACCAGCTCCAAACCGGTTCTGACCGGGACGCACCCCGTCAACACCACGGTAGACTATGGAGGCACCACGTCGCTGCAGTGCAAAGTGCGAAGCGATGTGAAGCCCGTCATCCAGTGGTTGAAGCGCATAGAGCCTGACGAGGAGAGCCGCTACAACACCACCATCGAGGTTGGCGACGACAGGTTCGTGGTACTGCCCACAGGGGAGGTGTGGTCCCGGCCCGACGGCTCCTACCTCAACAAGCTGCTCATTACCCGCGCCAAGGAGGACGACGCTGGAATGTACATCTGCTTGGGCGCCAACACCATGGGCTACAGCTTCCGCAGCGCATTTGTGACTGTGCTTCCAGGTGAGACAAACATCCACCCACACAAAGTAGAACAATGCTGAAAAATAATTTAAAAGGTGAATCTCTTTTATTACATTGATGACTCAGAGTGATTCACTGTTCAAAATAACAGCAGTTTGTTTGGAACAGAAAGATGTTAAAAAACTTCCTGATCACTGCTTACTGATCTGTGATGGGCTGCTAAAAAACTAATTTCTAACCCTTTTTTGTGTTAAAACTGATCCATGATCTCATACTGTGTGATAAGTTAGCTACACATCACTACAATACATCTCCCTATCATGATGCTTCACAGTTTGCTGTGGTTTGAACTCAGCAGTCAGTGTGATAAACCGTCTGCAGGCCTTAGACCCAAAAGGTCCAATCTAGTTTTCATCAGATTCTGGCCTTTTTCAGCAAAGATTTGTTCTATCAAAGTGGTTTTAGCTCCTCCTTATAACTGTAGATTCCTATGAATCTCATTCATGACAGCTTCTTTGCCCTTTGGGGTCTTCTTTTTAGAGTTCCCCTGATCAGAAATCAGTCAGATATCAGTGAAAAAGCCAATATTGATTTTTTTTTTTACATCTAAATTCTCTGATATCACTGAGCTTATATAAACAAACCACTGCTAGAATGAATTGGTTAATAGTAAAGTTGTATTGTGTCAGTAGCAGTATCCTTCAATACTCAAAACTTTAATATTGGTACCATATCAGAAATTAAAAAGTAGCATCAGGACACCCCAACTTCTTTTTTTACATATAAACAGTAGATTTTGTGTTTCTTCTAGGTTTTAGAGCATTTGATATCCAATTATTTTCTTATTTTATTCACCTCAAATTATTCACAGATATACATATTTTTTTCCCTGCAGGAAGTAATATAAGGTTTTAGATTAATAGTGAATCTGTGGGGAGAGCTAAATATTGGGGTGTTGACCTTCTGACCTGGAAAAGGCTGCTCTGTGGGTATAAAAAGGGCTTGAAATCTATCTTGCAAAGATCTCTTCATGGATTATTCAGGAGGCAGAACTAGTCTTTTTATAGAGATTCTAACATGTTAGCATTAAGCTGTAAATGTATGTTCAGAGTTAACAGAGCTTCACCTCATATCATAAAACGATGCAACTCATTGAGCTCTTCCATACGTGTCTCTCTTTTCTTTACAGACACAAAGCCCCCCGTCTCTTTGCTCCCGGCCAATTCCAGCTCCCTCCCCTGGCCCGTCATCATCGGCATCCCTGCTGGAATAGTCTTCATCTTTGCCACCGTCCTGCTGTGGTTTTGCCAGAGCAGAAAAAACTGCCCCCCTCCCAGTGCTCCCGCCCCGCAGCCGCTGCAGAGCTCCCACCGATCCCCGTATAGAGAGCGGGACCGGGGCTGCCCCGCTCCGTCCTCCAGCTCCTCCAGCCCAGATAAAGACTGCATGAGCTCCATGAACTATGAGGAGTACCTGGCCCAGAAGCAGCTCCTCCTCAGCCAGGCCGGACCCAGCATCCCGCCCAAAATCTACCCTAAAATCTACACGGACATCCACACACACACCCACTCTCATGTGGACGGGAAGGTGCACCAGCACCAACACATTCATTTTCAGTGTTAGCCTCAGCTGTTATGAACTGAGCAGGTACGGACTGAAGTTTCCCAGACCTCCTTCCTCTAGATCAGTTGCTTAGAAAACTGTGTGCAGCTGATGGTGGCCAGTTTGTTATCAGATCAAAAACTCACATTTCGGTGCTCTTTTCTACCTGTTAGAAGCTCACGCTTATATAACAACCCTTTTTGTGCACTTGATACTCCTTTTTACTGGATCTCCGTCCAGCTGCGGTTTTCTAATCCATATTGAGGTTTTCCTTAACGGACGTTTGGATCTGACGAGCTCTAAGGAGGCAGATGAAAACGGTACTAAAGAAAGGCTGGTTTAATCCTCCAACTCAGGTTGTTATTTTGTTTGTTAAAGATGCATTTGTTAGGAATGCTGACCACTATGCTGCCGTTCTTCACCTCACTTTTCTGTTCCTTTTGAAAAAAACAGGCCGGTAGCTCTTTATAGCGTGCAGATGTTCCCAAAGACTGCAAGGGTGGAGGGGTTGTGTTCCCACCCTCTGTGTAAACTGTTCTGGTCCTCTGTAATCTTCATATTTAACGTTCTGTCTGTAGGTTCCCATTATTAGTCTTTAGCATGTTGGGATGAACCAGAAGAGACCACCTCCTTATCCAACAACAGTTTATTAAGCTGTAGTCAGAATATTTAATTTATTTTCTTAAAAATGCATCAAAGGTTTATTTTTCAGAGTAAGGCATTTTTCATATCTATGTGATATTAATAAAGTATACTGTTTGTGTATTGTACTTTTTTAACTCATTTTGTTTCTGTTTAAGTCAACTCAACCAGTTGTATTATTTGGGGGAATTATTTCTGACAATCGTGTTTTTCCATATTTAAAGATCAAAGGGTCCCAATATTTTAGGCATTTCAGTAAATCAGAGTATCATCAACAAAATAGAACTCCAGTAGTAAAACTCAACATTTGTGCCCCAGGCTAATGTTTCAGATCTCTAAACACGTTTTTATTTCAGACAGATTATCCTGAGTAACCATTCCAACTAATCTGACCGTAAATGAAAAGTTATTACACCCTAAAAAGTTGTCGCTCCAACTGGTGATTATTTTTATTTTTTTTTCACTCTTTGCATAAATGACCCGTTAAAGGTCACAGAAGAGAATTTTAATCAGATTTTGAGTAGGACACTCCGAAGCTTTAATGTCAAAAGATTCTAGCTGGAAATTAAGAAGAAATTCATGGTTCTCTTTGTTACAGAACAGAAAGTAGTTCTGGTTCTGAGCATCCAAGTATAATAACTATATCTGACTGTATTTTAATATTTTTTTCTGACACGCAGTTTGTTTTACTCCAGATGTAACAAGATTCTGACCTCATGAAACGTTCCAGAAAAGGTTCTTTTTCGTCAGCAGTGGTTTTCATCCTACTAAATCATGACCTCTGACCCCAACTGAAGCCTGAAACAGAGTTTTGTCAAAAATATAAAAAGAAAAAAAATGTTTAATGCCAGAATCAATGCTAGGTCAGGACTCCTTTGTATTAACTGCCCACTTTGTGAACATGACAAACACTGGAACAAAGGTGGGTAGAACACCCAGAAATTGAAGTAAAATAAAATAAGAGCAGCACAATTTTAACGTTTTCTTTGACTTTAGTAATAATGAAAATGTAGTCATCCAAGAAATTACTCAAGGAAAAGTATTTGGTAGAAAGGTTACTCAAATACTGAGTAACTGTTGGATAATAAAATCTGATTTAATGTTTATAAATTATGCTGGCAAATAGGTTTTATGTGCAAGTTCTGGTATTTTAAAGACTCGTATCTTAGGAATGAGAATAAATGTCATGAATATAAAATAATAAACTCATGCAGAAGAAATACTTTTACCAATTTTCCCCCCAACATAAAACTTAGAAAATCAATCATAAGAACTGTACTGTATATATTAGGACAGGTTAACAAACTTCTGCCGTTAATATCTATTGTTTATGGTATGTTTACTTAATTTTGGTTCAAATGAATCACAGAGAATAGTCAGAGATTTTAGTCACGTAAGAGGAGCAATGCGTTACAAGAATATTACTGAATAAAAAAAAAAAGAAGTATGGCAGTCAAGTAAATGTAACTAATTACTAGCCATAAACAGTAAAAATTGACATATCTGACAAAATTATCACCACCTGGAATCATGAATTTGCCACCAATCTACTCTAGGTTCAGGGAATTAGATTTTCAAATAAAAATCTTAACAACTTCAGCAGCAGTTGACTCCAAACTTCTTCCTTCCTTTAAATCCTCCATATGTAGGCATCTCATTTGTTGAAGATAACTGTCTGCGGTCTTATCTGATACGGTCTGGCAACTTTTAAATGCATTCCTACTCCAGCATTGAACCAGATCCACTAATCTGCAGATTGAGCTCTGCAAAGGGAAAATATTATATCTGAAAGTTGCATGATCAGGGCTTGAGCTCTGAGCTTTTAGGCCATTTATTTCAGTGTTAAGTATCCTTCTAGTTGGTCTTTTATTCAAACTCTACCTTTTCAGAGAAATTGAATCAAATTTGTAAACTAGAAATAAAACACTTGACCTTTCTGTACCCAGTTAAAGATCTAAAAACCCAGCCCCACCCCCCCTTTTAGGAGGTAAGGAGTCCGAGGCAGATTGCAGCCAGCTAAGTGACCCTGACAAAAACCTGAGCAGATAGGGTGCAGACACAGAGTGCAGTCTCACGGTGGCTCTTCAAATGACTGACATGTCCCTGCAAGCCTACACCGACCCAACAGCATCTTCTCCCAGTTAAGTGACTGTACCCCCCGCCACGCTCAGCTCCAGTGTAGGTAGGATTTCCTTTCACCATTTAGGAAGCACATTGTCCCACTCTGGGGATGATGTGACAGAAGCCAGTGATTGCTCTGGAAAGAAGGGAAGCTTTGTCTTGTTTAGTTGCAGGAAATCTGGAGATAAGCGTTGGCTCCAGAGAAATGGCAGGAGAGCACAGCGGACAAAATAATAAAAATTCTTCATGGCATCCATAACAAATTATTTAAAAATCTGTAAAACAGGCATTTGGAGCTACAAAATCAGACACTGCCCTCTAGTGGTAGATTAAGAAAAACATAAGTTCTTTATTGTACAAGTTCGACAGTGAAAGACATTCAAATAAACTACAGGAAGAAAGGTACCAACAGAGAGAAGAACAATAAGAAAATGCATTTACAGATCAACCTTTCTGGACTTTTGATATCAGCTCATCACAGAGCTTGGTGAGCTCTCCCACTTCTTTTTCCTGAAACCCAAAAATGCACAAATAAATTCACAGGAAGCCGTTCATTTATTGAAATGCAACCAGTTCACAGCGATGACCCCTCACCTTCTGCTCGAGGCTCGTCTCCAACGTCTGGATCCTCAGCTGCTCTCGCCGTAGCTGCACTTGAAGAGCCGAAAGCTCTGCCTTATATTTGGATCGAACCTCAGCAATTTGTTGATTTGCTCTAAAGTCAAAAAGTCTGTTTTAGTCTCTACGGCTAAAAAAAAACAAGCATCCAAGTCCAGGTTCCGCATCTTACAGGTTAATTTTCTCCTCAGCATGAGCCTTCAGCGCCTGGTAGCGCTGCTCCCCCTTCCTCATCCTTTCCAAGTAGTCCTGCGCGCAGGCCTTCAGCGTCTCTTCATTCTAGCCAAAGTGTTGAAATAAAGAAAGATTTAAACATTTGGTTGTTGCCATCAGATTTGAAAATGCAGGAGTTTTTCCTCATGGGAGCGTACCTTTTTGTAACCCTCCACAACTTCCTTGTACTTCTCAAGTCTCTTAAAAAGCTCTCCGAAGGATCTCTCCATAGCGTTCAGGTCGCTGGACACCTGCTGCTTCTCCATCAGAGCCTTGCTGAGATTCTTCTGGGCCTCTTCCCGCTCCTTTTCCTGATTGGCTTATTTATTCAAGAGAAAATAAAATGCTTGTAGGGCCAAACAAGACAGAAACACAGCTGCATGCAAACTGCATGTGTTGTATATAAACTCACCATTTATATTTGCAATTAGCAGCTCATATTCTGCGATGACCTTCCTGTGAGGAAATACGATAAACATTTGAGTAGCAGGTTCAGCTTTACTGACATGTTCTGCAATCAATATTCAATCTTTTGAATGTTGATTTAGTTTAATGAGCTCTACTTTCAAATCTCTCCAGTTGTCATAATCTATGCAAGAATAATTATTATTGAAAGGGCATACTTTATCTTAAGGATTACAAAATAAAGGCTTAAGATGGGGACACCGTATTATTTCTGCAGACCTGGGAATCCATGAAAGCTACCTGCAGACGCCATTGGAAGCTCAGGACATACAAGTTTGTTTAGCACTCACCTCATTTCTTGACCATCATCTTGCAGCTTTTTAAACTTTGCATCCCACTGCTCCTCTTTCACCTTGGTCTATTTGACAAATGTTTGGGAGCAGATTAACTTCAATCACCTTTAAAAATTTAACCTGCTGTGGTCCACAGCTAAAGGCCTTACCTCTGCCTGCACCCTAGCGATGGCTGCATCCAGGTCTTTCTGGCTGTACTTCAGCACTTCAATAATGGCCTCTTCGCTTTCTGCAGGTTTTGGAAACTGAGGGACAAGATTCTTTAGGATTGGAGGCCAAACAGAGAGAGGAGCATGATGAAAACCAATCAAAGCTTCGAAATCAGCTGGATGCAGATTCAGACTCACTGGGACCAGAAGATTGTTGTTCAGCGTTTTAGTTGACTCCTTCTCTGCATCATTGAGTCTGAAAGAAAGCGATTTTCATCTTTTAAAGGACTGAACGGTACAGCACAAGATAATCAGGGTAAATAAACAAAGGCATTAGAAAAAGGATAAAAAAGGTTTCATTCTGCTTAGGATGTAGTCTGAAGGTTAATGGGTTAAAACAGTATTACTATGAGCCATTATTCATTTCTTCTCCCAAGTTGTTCACTTTGCTCAAATTAATTTAAGCTCCCACTTACAACAGAAAAGCTTCTATGAAGGAGTGTGTAAATCATACCGGGAGGCCAGACCAGTAGGGGCAGCAGAGAGCAGATGAGCAGCAGGGCCACCAGACTTCTTTGGGCTTTCTCTCAGGAGGGGATCAAACTTTAGGAACAGCGATTGTTTCCTCAGTGCAGACTCCTTGAACTGCTCACAAACAAAAACATTTTCAGTATCTTCATGGCAGAAAGTCTAATAGTTTTGTAAGATATTCATGCAGGACTTACGCTGCTGGAGCCAAACTGCTCCAGGTAATCAATCTGCCCGTCAAAGTCACTGGCCATGACTGCAACAGAACAGCGGGTTAAAATAAAACTACCGATTCAGAGACTGATCTGGTGAGTTTTCAGCAGTGGAACAGCCACCAGTGTTCACTCACACATGGTTCCAGGAAGAAAAATTTCCTCTGAGCCCAGTGAGGCCATCTGAAGCTGCTGCGCAGAGGGAAGCTGGGCCTGGAGGTTCTGACTGGCAGCTTCATCTTTAAGGTCTTTGTCGGTGAGAGCCAAGTAATCGCCCATCTGCAAATTCAGGAGAATTCAACTTAATTTAAAATAAAAACAGAAAAAAAAAAAGCTTCAGTGAGCTGGAACAAGATGCATGACTGCTCACCGCTGCTGGATTGGGCTCAGCAGGAGGCAACATCTCTGCAGCCCTGCAGGAGAAACAAAGCTCAGAGTTTACATGTAAATTCTACCCAGACAAAGTCCAGATACTGATTAGAAGATCTACTGACCCCTCAGATGATGCAGGTTTCTCTTCCTCTGGGTTCTTGGTTTGTTCTGCAGTCATTTCCTGGAGGATGGAGCTGGGTACGTTGGAGACATTGCTACTCTTTGGTGAGTTGGTAATGGCTGTCTTGCTGCCAAAAGGATTGAAGTTTGGATCATCAAACTTCTCAAAGTCAAAGGAGTAAGAAGCTTTGGGAACTGGAACATCTGCATCATCACTTGGAGCAGGTTTGATAGCAGCCTCTTCTGAGGGTTTAGGGTCAGCCTCTATTTTTTTTTCTTTTGGAACATCTGCATCATCACTTGGAGCAGGTTTGACAGCAGGATCTTCTGAGGGTTTAGGGTCAGCCTCTGGCTTTTTTTCTTTACGTTTCACATCTGTGAATCTTTTACCAAATTTTTTCGGTGGTGGTTTTCGTTTGACTTCACCGTTGTCTCCAAAGTTGAACTCCAGTTTAATCGGTCCTTCTTGAACGCGAACATCAGGAAGCTCAGATCCAGTCGCTTTTGCAGGCTTCACATCCAACTCAGAAGGCATGGTTTTCTCCTCCTCCGGAGCATCGGCTGGTTTAGGCTCCTCTGCAGGTGGATCACTGCCTGGCACCTTTCTTTGAATAACAGGTGAATTCTGGATTTTAGAGCCTCCGGTCTGGAACGGATTGATGGCATCAAGGTTGTCAAGGTCCAGGTTATAGGAGCCCTTTGCTGGAAGAGGCGCATCCTCCACAAAAGTGCCAGATGCTTCCTGTTGGCCTGTGCTAGCACACACGTCATCAGGTGTAGCTGCACACAAGTCTTGCTCTTCCATTTCGGATACCTTGACCACATTCACAGTGACCACGCTGCTCTCTCTGGAGCCGACATCAGCAGAAGCGTCCGCTAAGGAGTTTTCCATGGATGGCGTGAACGGCAGCGTGTCGTCCAGGCTGGCTACAGCCACTGGTTTCTGGAGGATGTTCTCTGAAGCTGTCCCAACAGGAGCTTCGACCACATGTTTCACAGGAGAGAGGATCATCTTGTTGGAGCCCTGAAAAGGATCTATGGCGTCCAGGTTGTCAAAATCCAGCTGATAGCCGCCTCTGCTCTGAATTGGCATGTTGTCGTCAGAGAACGACGATGGCTCTGCTGAGAGAGAAAACATTGCAGCTTAGTTTATCCACAGGAAAAAAAAAAAAAAGGCAGATAATTTAACAAGAGATAAATTACCTTGCTTTGGAGGGTCAGTGGTGGGCTCATGTTGTAAAATTCTGCAAAAACAAAATCAGCCCTGTTACTTAAAAATGCAGCTTTTAACATCTACAGACATACTGGAAGTTTAATACAAGTTACTTACTCTGATTTGTCCAAATTAAGAGATTCCATTACTTTGTTGTTTTCGTCCACACTGGACATAACAATGGAGTTGCTGGGAGACAGAATCCTTTTAGTCAAAGGGTCTCTCCTGGGGGTCTGAAAACAAACCTGAACAAAAGACATTCAATCAGTCAAATACGCATCATCAACCACCTGCAAAAATCAACAAACATAGAAGATATAGTATATCTATATACGATTATTATTATTATTATATACTCTTTATATATTATAGAATACTATTTAAATATGGCTATATATAACTCTTAAGTCCTAATACCCAGAATGGAACTGCACAAAAAGCTAGAAAAATGAACTAATTTTCACCTTAGTGCTCTTTGGCATGGTCTTATTGGGCAGGTTCTCCGTCTGACGCAGGATCGATGGCCTCCCAGTGGACTGATCTATAGAAAATATGTCCTGACACGAGCTGCTCTGCTTTCCTGCTGGGATGACCCCACTGTTCTCATCATTCACTTGGACAGAACTCATCCTGCAAAAAAAGAAGAGAAAAGTGACGTCTCAGGCTGTGCTCTGAAGGAGGAGTCACACTGAAAGCTGCATGCAGATGATAAGATGGTTCTTGTTGGGGCTTTAGTGAGGCATGTGACCAGAGCATGCTCATGCAGAGAATCAAATATATATGCGACACTGTTGGTGTGCACTTTTATTAAAGACAGGATTTTCCTTTAGGAAATTAGGGGGAAAATTATTTGTTGACCTAAGATTTATGTTTCAGTATCAAAAAGAAACATGTTTAAGTTGAGGTAAGAAAGTGAATGTAATAATGTAAAAGCAGAACTTGGTCTTATGCTGGGGTTCTCAAACTGTTCTACTCAAAATAATGGATAATAAAAATAAAATCGTAAATATTAAGCAAACTATCTGTAATGTACAGTTAATACTTCGACTCGTATAGTAAGTTAGGTGTTTAATTAATTATATAAAGGTCAGGAAAAAAAACATCTGAAACCCAGCACTTTGAAACATTAATTGTTTCCAAATTAGAGATGAATAGAATTTCACTTTTAATATTTGCCACCAAGATTAAAATTACTTTCGTGCTGTTACACGGCGCGACCACCAGATGGCGCCAATATCATCCCAATAACTTTCGATTTTAGAACACAAGGAATACATAAGACATTTCACAGCCTGTATAGTATATTTAATGTACTTTTTTTTTAAAAGAAGGTCTTTACTATACTTCTACACTGTTGGTTAACTTTTAATTTTTGCTAAACTATAAGGAAGAGAAACGTCAATGCTAAGCAATATTTCCAGCAACAGACTCTGAACGCTTCATTTACTTATTTCGACATGTATCTTTGTGCTCAATCAATACACACAAAAAGTGACTTCTTCGAAAACCTGAGAGGCATTTGTTAATATGACGCTGGTACATCTTTACATCGCATAAAACAGTTTGTGACCCCGTGCATTCGTTTGCATGTGACCCAAAGGGTAAAACACTGATCCATTAGCTAAAACAGTCTAACTTATTATTATTAAAGTCTTACTACGTTGAAGTGCTGTCTGGATTTCACCACTACTCAACAAAATTAAAAATCAAACGCAGCGGCGAGTCTATTGAACCGTTTAAAGCAACAAAAAAATGCCTAAGCAGTTTACGAAAGGCTAGCAGGTAGCTAACTGTTAAAACTAGAACTTTTAAAAAGAGAACAATGTTCACAGCCGTTACCCGATAATTTAGAACAAACTAATATTCGCCACCTACCTGAAATGATGGGCTATATATAGGGTGAAATTTCAAAGACTTGGACCACACGCATAAACCGTTGTATCGCTACTATAATAGCTTTGAAAATCCCTCTGCTGTGTATGGAGCAAATGTACGCAGCCGTTTGGAATTTTAAAGTCATGAGACGCACCAATAAGATTCGTCCAAACGTTCAAACCAAATGCGCTTCCTGGTTAGTCAGCCAATCGTGTCAGAGCTATTCCAAAGACTACACATGTTTCAAGATCATGCTCCCCTATAATACCCACTGACATTGAAGTATTTTTATAACATCTGATTTCTTGATTACGTTCTTTATTTGCTTATTTAAGAAGCTTGATATTAAACGCTTTGCTGATTTCCTAAATAGTCTACAGTTATTCCTCCGTTTCATATAGTATTTTTTAGTAACTTAGTAAGTAAAGAATAGCATAGAATAGAATAGAAAATCTCTTTATTGTTCCATAATGGGGAAATTCTGGTGTTTACAGCAGCAGAAGGATTATAGAATTTTTTTTTTTTTCACACAAATGTGGACCTTAGAAAAGTGTATAAGAATAACATAATAGTAAAGAGATAAAAAATAAACAAAATATTGTACTGTAAAGTGTTTTAACAAAATTAATACTGTGCATGTGGAGAATAAATAACCAATATACAGCTATGGACATTTTTACAGTAGTGGACATGTGAAAATAGTAGCAACATCAGAGATGTGCAAAATGACAGCGGCATGGTATTTAACTGACTTATATAGAAGCTGTGTGAATGTAACAACTTATTGAGGTTGCTGGGAACAGTGGTAGTTATAAAGTCTTCCAGCTGCTGGAAGGAAGGATCTGTGATCATGCTCCCTGGTGCATTTAGGGTGCAGCAGTCTGTCACTGAAGGAGCTCTCCAGTTCTGCAACAGCTTCATGCATGGGGTGGGAGACATTTTCCAGCAGAGATGTTAATATATTTCTACAAAATATGTAAAGAACTTAATTAATTTAGAGGAGAATTTTTGAACAAGACCTTAAGGACTTATTAGAGTCATCACTTTTATGGGAGCTATTGTTGGTAATCATTCTGCTGAGCAGCAAAATGTCTCAAAACAACATTCAAAACTAACATCTCTGCACTGTAAAACAGATAATAAACAAAAACCAGGTGGTCTACTTGAATAGGATGGATTCCTGGACTATGTGGTTTTATTCTCTTATTCATCCGTTTATTCTGCACTTCTTATTTCTTCAGCTGTTGAAAGTTATGTTGCCTCCCTTTATGGGTCTCTTGATCATTCTTCTTTCTTTAAAAGCTTTCAGTCTTGTCGTATTTTTAATCCCTAATATTTTGCCAAAGAAAGCAGAAATGCTCTCTTTTACGTTTACTTTCCATTGTGATCTACAACGTACAAAGATTTAGAAAAAAGGGAGAATTTATCAAAATTTGAAATTTAAGATCTTTTATTGAATTCTCTCTCCTCTTTGTTTTTGTCTTGTTTATTTTTCCACTCCACACTCTGATGTGTCAAAACTAATACAGAACTCCGCGAACTCTCTTGTTGTACGGCAACCGAGAGGGGACACACCTCCTTTCACATATCAGTAAAGAACGGGCTGTTACAATATAAAGATATATATCGTAGTATATATTATTTCTTTTTGGCAAATTAATGTTTATTTAAAGGGCTATAAAAGGCTGTGACAAAGCATTTGATTCGTTTTTCTATTTGACACAAAATCAGGAAGCAGCTGGAGGAACAAGGCTTTAGAGTGCAAAGTCCAAATAAAATAAAAACAATAAATAAATAAAATCTATCTTATTTATCCATTTATTTATTTATTTTCCCCTGAAAGTCCATAAAAGCAAAAGCTATCAGACATTTATTAATCTAACCTTTTAGGATGGTGTGCCTGTTTGAAATGGTACTTTTTTTTTTATGTTTGAGCAGTTCCCCGCTTTTTTCCAGTAGGTGGCTGTAGTGATCCTCAAACTTGTTTGTCAACCAACATTGTACAATAGAAAGAAGAAGAAGAAGGAGGAGGAGGAGGAAAAAGGGGAAACAACCGCCCGCCAAATTTAAAGGATGTAAACAATGTTAGCAAAGCCCTTTTAATAGCGCTGTTCATGATATTTGAAATTTGAAGCAATTTTTTTAGTTGTGTGGGTTTCTTAGCGTTTTGCTGCCATGAGCTCCAGTGGAAAAGGTAAGATTGGTGTCTGAACGGACTTAAAACGCCGATAATACTTATCCTCTTTGGTGGTATCTTGGATTAAAGCGAAGTGCGTATTAAAACTACAAACAGAAAACCTTCAATGTTTGCTTATTTCTGGAAGTTTAGTAGTCATGCATTTTAATCCGTCGCAGGATGTTGATTTTGAAAAAGCTGTGAAAGAAGTATTTAATCTGACCGACCTCTTCTTCTTTCAGGACCTGGAGATGTAACTCTTCTTGCTGCTAGGTAATACACGTTGAGGTCACTACTTAGATAAATCTTGTATAAATCTGTGTATTTTTTTACATATCTGACTGAGACAGTAAATAAACTCAGATGTAGTCGGTTTAGCTGCAGTACCAAGGTTAAACAAGGCTATAAAACCTCTAAACGACTTCCTTTGTATCAAACTAATCAAGATTCTTCACTCTTCATAAATACACCAGGCAAATGATTTGGTTTGATTTAAAATATCTGAAACCCAGTCTTCACATTTTAACAGCTATTTTATTTTAGAACAAAATAAAATAGTAAAATAAACAAAACATTTATTTGCATCCCTCAGCCACGTTATCGGGTTCTGAATGATTTTATGCATTTGGATTAAGTTATTATACGGCGATTCCGTAAAAGTTTAAAAAACAATCCACTGGACTTGGTTTCCTAGTCCAGTGGATTGTTTTTTAAACTTTTACGGAATGACTATGATCCGGATGACTGAGAATCTTCATCAGCATTATAAGGTGATTACTGAGAGCTTACTATCCATATTGACATGTTACTGCCACACAGTTGCTACAAATATAACAGCTGCACCCCTATGTCAAGTCTTTCTGGGATGTGATGCAGTTGTTCTTGAAAGTCCTCTTAAAGGAAATTATGGATTCACACTAGTAATTCAAACACTGAAAAAAGTAGTAATAAATTCCTAAATAAAAATTTATCAAAATGAAATATCGAATTTTTGTAAAAACAAAAATAATTCTAAAAAACAACATTCGCGCAACTTTACAGAAAACACCCCATTTATATATATTTTATGTATATAAATTCTTTTTAAAGGACATTCTTCTTCCAGAGGATTATATAGATTACAAAGAGTTGAAGCAAGATGCCATTTAAGATAAAAATATGACAATATAAAAAGAGTGTATGTAGTACAAAAGAGCATTAAAAAAGTTGTAATGTCCTGGAATGTGTTTCCTTTAGATATATAAATATCTCAGGGTTTCCGCAGATCATAAAAAATCAGTAAAGGTCATTAAATTATTAGTTTTTAAAATTAAGGCCTTATTTGGCATTAAAATTAATTAAATGTGATTATCATGGAATTTAAAATGCTTTACTAATAAAAGAAAAACGTTTATAAAAACAATTTCGTCAGATATATTAGATATAACTAATAGACCTGCTTCCTGTTGATCGTAAAGCAGCATGTTCGAAAAAGAATTTCGAGGCAAAGTAAAAGCTAGAGAATGGGAAAATGCTAATTTCAACAAAAGTGCCTGTAAAATGAGGAATTAAAAAGTAGTAAATTATAGTTATTCATTCCTGTAAAAATCCTGTATCTGAACAGTAGAGAGCTAAGGAAAGACTCCACAGTAGTTGGTTTGATTATTGCAGTTGCACTGCACTTTATGTTTTTGAGTCACTATCACTTTAGTCCTTTTCAGTTTATTTTACTGGCAGCTATTTTTTTTCTATCTTAAAAGGCGAGGTAAGTAAATAGTTCCAGTTTGTTAAATTGGTTCAGTTGAGAATGAATGATTCTGATAACAGATGATTATCATCAGATATTAATTCTTTAAAATTACAATCAGAACCATACTGTTTTGGTCTTTCACTAAACCGTGCTCCATCTGCTGCTTAGCCTTCATTATTCCGTGTGTCATTTTCTTGCCTTGTAGCGGAGACAGCGATTCTATTAAAGTCTTTGTACGAGTGCGACCTCTGACCAAGGGAACCGGGCTAACAACTGATGGAGACCAGAGTCTGTGTCTGAATGTCAGCTCACCCAACACCATCCGTCTGCTCTCTAAACCAGAACCACGGACCTTCACCTATGACCATGTCGCAGATATGGACACGTCTCAGGTTTAATGCTGTTAATAATAATCTGCAGTTGTTTCTATTTATTAGAAATTAACATGTCAGAGAATAATATTTGTCCTTCACTTCTGCAACAGGATGCTGTTTTTAACAGTGTGGCCAAAAATATTGTTGAGTCTTGCATGAATGGATATAATGGTACTATATTTGCCTAGTAAGTACAGCATAATTGTATGTTATGAAACAAAATATAACCTAACTATTGTTCTTCATATGAAGCAACAGCTCGTTTGCTAATGAGATTCTGATTTTGTCTTTGCAGTGGACAAACGGGCTCAGGGAAAACATTCACCATGCTTGGTGAGTATTCGCTGCTGCTGCCGTTTGTACTGAAGCTCTAACAGAACCAAAGTCACGCCGATTCCCTTCTGGCTGCAGGTCCGTCTGAGCTGGACAACTTCACAGACGAGCTGAGGGGGGTCATCCCTCGAAGTTTTGAGTACCTGTTTTTCCTCATTGGCAGGGAAGTGGAAAAGGTGAGCGGTAAAAACACAAGCTTGCACAAGCTCTCCTTTTATTTCTGCTTTTTTGGTCACACTTAGATACTTCAAGTATCCAAGATTATCAGAGGGATTAGAAAAAGCACTTTTAGAAGATAATTTCATTTATTAAAGAAAAAATTTAAAGTTTTAAACCAAATGACCAATGCTAATGCTAACACTATTGGAATCTGGCTATAGTATGGCCTGCATAAGGTCATGCAAATGCACCTCAATTGGTTTCATAAAGTCAAAACTCTAACTAGGCCGTCCTGAACCCTTTTGTTTTCTTCAAGTCATTCGGAGATGGACTTAATGGTGCTCTCTAGATGATTGTCCTACTGGAAAACCCA